CTGACCGGACTTTTTCTTTAAAAGAAACACAAATAAAATCGAAATGCTGGATGCTCCTTTCCAGATGTTTGATCAAAGTAAAAAAAACAAAAAAAAAACAAATCAGAGTATAAAAAATCTAATATAAAAATACCATTGATGGTAATGATAAGATTTTACAAAGACTGACCATGAAAAAGAAGACATGAAGTGTTCTTAAGCTACAGGACAATGTTTTGATCAACCAGACGTTTAAAATCAGGCATCCTGGAAGCCCAGGAATTATCTGCATCATGGCAATAAATATCAAATCAACGTATAAAACCCACCATCAATTCAAATCCATTTAATCTGAAACAGGTTTTTACCTTGCTTCCGACACACCAGCAGGTTTAACTGGCTTAGAATAAAGGCTAATACCGACCCGCCAAAACCAGTCTGACCTCGGTTTAAACTGTCCATCAAAATGGCCGCAGCAGATCCATCCAACACGTCTCCTGCTGGCAGACCCAGCAGATCCTGGTCCAGGTCGGCTCGGATGCGGTGAGCCTCCTCCTTTCCGAGCGCGACGGAACGGTTGAGGGGGACTGGAGGCGCCGGCCGGCCGGCTCGGTTCTCCTCAGCTCTCGTCGTCGGGGTGTTGCTGCTCCAGCAGGCTGACGTGGGTGAAGGGGAAGTGGCCTTGTTTCCCCTTGCATTCGCCCTCCCACTGGCCGTTCATATTGATCTTGGTCACTTTCACCATGTCCCCCACCTGTTGGTGAAAAAAAGAAAAAACACCACAGTTACTTTCCTCTGCAGAGCTCCATGTATGAGTTTCTGTACAGCCTGCAGGTATTAGATGGGCCCTTTATGTAATCTACAATTTATAATTACCGTAATTTTCGGACTATAAGCCACACCGGACTATAAGCCACAGGTTTTTTATGTTTAATTACCATATGCTTCGTGCACAGAGAGGATTGTCGGGAAAGAGGCAACTGTTTGGGGAAGCTCCTATTTATTAACATTTCAACACAATTGAATTGAGACAATTCTTCCTGCTGGCGTCTCCAACGTCTCACCATTGACTCGTTGATTCCAAGGTTACGTGCAGAGGTTCTATTTCCTTCGTTTACTGCCAAATTGGCTAGCCTGGGTGCCA